TCAAACATGGCGCCTGCCTGCCGGCTGTGTGCGGGGAGGACTCGCCACAGGAGCCATGGCCTCCGCCCGCCCTTCTGCCCGGGAGGAAGCCTCCCCTCCAGCTCTCGCCCGGATTCCAGGCAGGTTAGTTCCTCCCCGAGTGTCCCGGGTCCTTTCAGGCTGCTGCCCGGCGCTGGGCTCAGAGGGAGCGTCCGAGTGAGTCCATGCCGGGCCCTTTAGGAGGAGCTGCTGGGGCTCCCGCAGCCTCCGCGACCCTCAGGACAGTCCCCGCTGGTTTCACAGCCCAGAGTTGTGCGGATGTCTCTTTCCAGCCTGGAGCCCTGGGCTGGGGGCCTGCTGTGGGGCTGGGACCCCTCACTCCTCTGGGAAACCTCCACTGCCGAGATTCCCTCCTGGGTTAATCCGTGGCACCAGGTGTGGGCCCGCGGCCGCGTCTCCGCCCCTCCTCCCGGTCTCGATGCTCCTTCGGTTCCCTGGTTGTGGGGCTTCTGTGCAGCCAGATCTCAGGAGGCTCTGAGTGATGGTGGTTCTGGATTTTAGTTGTAATTTTGATGTGGTTGAGAGAGGCAGCGGGTGCAGCTGTTACCTACGCCGCCTTCTTGTTTCCTCTCTATATTAGAATTTTTTAAATGTTAAAATTAGTCTGTGAACTAACAATCCCTCTAAAGAACTTAGAATAATATAATTTTGTCAACATACACATTTTGTTTATTTGTTTGGATTTCTTTGCTCTTTTTGTTTATTTATTTTTACAAAAGAAATGTCAACTAACATGACATTTTATAAAGCCCGAAGTTCTGCATGCTAAAACTTAAGAGGAGTTGGTAGAATTTGCAGTTAAAAACTGCAGGCTTTGTACATAAGAACATAAATTTTAAAACCTATTCCCACAACTGCAATGAAGAAATTTTATAGTCTGCCATCATTGGTGACTCACAAGTTTTGTTTTATAACTTTTGAGAATCATTCATTTGAAAGGCCTTGTCTCAAGAGATTTATCAATCTGAAGACTAAATTGTACAAAGAAAATGCATTTCCCTTTGATTGACAGATGTTTTAATGGATAGATAGCTTTAAAATTTTATTTTTGTACCCTTAAATGTAGCTGAATCTGAAAGTTCAGCAATAAACCTATCTCTACAAAAATTATTGAAATGAAGCCTGATGTTTGCATTCATTTCACTTAGGACACATGCACCTAAAAATAAAAATTTATTCCAGAGAGTAAACACTGCTATGCATTATGATTTTTTTTTATTAAATAGGATATGGAGTGGTCTATCAATCCAGCTCATACCAGAGAATATATACTGTCTCTAGCTAATTTGGTCACTCAAGGGAGAGAAATATAGGTCTTTAAAAGTTTTCTAGACTTATCTGGTGGGGCGGAGCTCAGCCATTGAGCATTTACCTAGGATCCAGGCGAGGTTTGATTCCCGGTCAGGGCACATGCCTTCGTTGTGGGTTTGATCCCCAGCTGGGGGCATGCAGGAGGCAGCCGGTCAATGACTCTCTCACGACTGATGTTTCTGTCTCTCTCCCCCTCTCCTTTCCTCTCTCTGAAATCAAAAAAGATACATTAAAAGTTTCCCACTTTTGATGGCTAGTTCTGATCACAGAAATGTCAGCCCCTCTTTTGTTTACTTACATGTAACATGGGTTGAGCAATGTTTATTTCATAGTGTTGAACAAAAAATGTATATAAAATGATTTAACATGGTATTTTGTACATAGTGGATGCTCAAAAATTAGGTATTATACAAATGAAATTTCTCACAGACTTATTTAACATTTCCCATAAGGCAGGTGTACTGGCGACAACTTCCCTCAATATTTGTTTGTCTGAGGAAGTCTTTATTTCTTCTTTACTTTTGAAAGATAATTACATAGGGTATAGAATTATATGTTGGTGTGTTTTTTTTCCTCTCAACTATTTATTTCGGTTCATTTCCCTCTTGCTTGCCTGTTTTCTGAGGAGAGTCTGTTTAATTCTTATCTTTGTTACTCTGTAGGTTGGATGTTTTTTCCTTTGACTTCTTTCAGGATTTTTTTGTCTTTGATTTTTTTTTTTTTTTTAATAATTTGAAAATGTCATGCCTAGGTATAGGTTTGTTGTTGTTGTTTGGCATTTACCCTGTTTGGTGTTCTTTAAACTTCTTGGATATGTAGGTTGGTATCTGACATTAATTTGGGTAAATTTTCAGTCATTGTTTCCAGCTCAGGCTCTGATGGTGGCCCAGCAGACCAGGCCCTGGTTAACTAGTTTCTCCTGAGGATGGACCTTTTTAAGACAAAGACTGTGCTCTGACCTGTTTCAAAATGACTCCTTTTCTCCTTCCCTTACTGGAAGTACAAGAGTGTTTTTCTTCAGTATTTGCTCTCAGAACCCGGTTGAGCTTCTGGAGATAAATCTCACAAAATTATTGGAGCCCCTATCACTTGGTACCCCTCCTTGGAGTGTTTAACTCTCAGGCATGTCTGCATGGAGCCTCCATGACTTGTCAATGTCAGTTCAGGTTTTTCTCTCCTGGCACTGACTCCCAAGCCGTTTCCACTCCCGAGGCCCTGCTCCTTTTTTCTCCCGTTTGTCCCTCTAATTTGGGGGGCAGCAGTTTGCCCTGAGTTCTCTCCTCTCTTGTGGATCCAACAAGAGTTCATTTTTCAGTCTGTTTGGCTTTTTACTTATTGTTAGGATGCATGCATAACTGGAAAGTAGACATCTGAAATTAGTTTTCAATGAAATAAACTTAGAAAATGTTTACAACATATGTACTTAACAAAGCTTTAGTAAGTAGTTTTTCTAATAAATTGGTTTTTAAAAACACTGAGCAGTCATTTTGCAGTATAAGAAATACAAATGATAAATGTATATGAAGTTATTAATTTCATTAGTAATCAAAAAAAGCAAATTAAAGTATGAATAATATATATTTCACCAGCCAATTTCAAAATATTATCCAATGCTTCTGAGGATATGTGAAAACTATCAAACTTACTCTAAAGATATTCTAGCAATTCTGTTTGTAGGAATTATCCTCCCCCCTCCAAAAGTACATAACTAGGAATATCTAAACAAATATGTTCATTTCAACATTGTTTATAAAAGAAAAAAGTAAAAATAACTTCAAAGCATATTTTCAGTGGAATGGTATAAATTGGGATACAATGAAATAATATCAATCATTAGAAGTAAATGAAAAGATAGCTTTTTATACAATATGTTGGATAAAATCTATTTATAAAACTGTATGTATATTAGAATCAGAATGCAAATGTTAGGAAATGTACACTGAAAATCTACCATGAGTATATTTCTTTTTCCTAAATAAAGTAATATAATATGGTATAATAAAATCATAGTGCTAGAGCCTTCTGTGGAGCATACTGACAGGTGACCAAAGAAATATACACTTTCAAATTGTCTTATCTGTGTTAGAAAATGGAATGGTTTTTATACAGATGGTAATCCCATTTTCTTTTGTCCTGCTAGGGAAAGGTGAACATGGGAAACCTTACCCCCTCACTGAAGAAGACCATGATGACTCAGCTTACAGGGAAAATGGTTTCAATATTTTTGTCAGCAACAATATTGCTCTAGAGAGGTCTCTGCCTGATATTCGCCATGCTAAGTGAGTATCAGCCTGCCCATGTGTGGAGTGGTTTACTTTTGCTGTCTATTTAGTTGTATTATGTTTAATATGTCACTAAAATGTTTGCCCTAATAATTTTATTAAAAAGTTTACATTTCATAATCTTAAATATATTTTATTTAAGTTGGAATAACTTGTAAAATTCCAAAAGAATAATTAGCGACTCTCTAAAACTTAAAACATGTTTTTGTTATTGAGTTGACTATATTATTTCCATTTAAAGTGAATTTTTTTAACATAATACCCATACCGTTACATTTGATTACATAGATTATGAAGTAGACATTTTTTCTGGTGATTAGTACTGTCAGAATGTGTGTATATATATATCCTGACAGTACTTTCTATCAACTTCATTCTCACACCAGCCGCATTCAGTGCCATTATAGGCACATCTTCTACGAAGACTGCCTAAAATAAATGTATCCATAACTCAAAGGTAATGGTAGTTGCTCAATTTTCTGTCACTTTATGAATTGCTTATGGCTTGTCAATTGACAGTGAGTTCAGTTTTTATTGAGTTAAATCTAAATATTATAGTGTAAATGGAAACAACAATAATGTTACATGTTGTTACCTGAAATCCCTCTACTCTCTGCCCATACCTATCTACTCCTAATATTGCTTAATGTACTCTTTTTTCTTAATCTGTTATGGTTTTCTTGATAGCATATATAATGCCAAAAGTATGCCACGAACATAGAATGTGATCAGAATTTGAAGTTATGTACATATACATATTTGAGAAATCTATTTAACTATATGTTTAATTCTCCCCCACCTTACCCTTCCTTTGGCAACACTGTTATGAGAGAAAGAAAATTAGAGAAAATAAAATAAGGGCAACTAATAAAAGTAGGACTAGGAATCTAAATTAAACCAGTAAGTTACAGTAAATAAACTCTTAATTTTGTGCAAGAATGATTAACCTTTGGAAAACATTATGATTTGGGGAACCATTTTTAGTTGCCCTACTGTGCCTCTATAAATTCGTTTTAAAATATAAAAGAATTACTGATTTCCCCTCTCAGGTTTTATGTGAACTTGCATTTCCCACTATAGTTAAGCAGAGGGTTAATATGAAGAACAAATCAGTTTTTCCTAAACTGAATGCTTTGTGTATGGGTGTGGGCCTTCCAGCTAGCCAAATTATTCCCAGGCTACCTGAAATTATCTACAGTAATTCCCACTGACCGAGAACATTTCTAGTTATGAGAAATTTTAATACCTAATTGTGCACCATCAAAGATGCATTAAATTGCATTGTTGGCATAATAAATATGCTCAGAGAATAATTTCCATACACCTCCTCTCCCACCCCCACACTTCCAATCTTCGAATGTGTATTCAAGTGGAAAGAATTGCAGATGGAGACAGTGCAGAAAATCACTGAAGTCAAAAGATGGTTGATATTCCCATTCTCCTCAGAGACTGTATTTTTAGTATAACTACCACCTTTTGAGAAAAGATGTTCTTAGGCAATAATGGAAAGTGAAATTTAAAAATGGAAAGAAAAAGACTTTAAAATTTTTAATAGAGTCCCCGAGTTTATAGTATCAGAGGGCATTGCTCTAGATGTTAGGGAATAAAAAATTGGCTAAAATATGTTCTGTGACTATACCGAGGGTGTTGGAACTGGATGGCAACAAGCATTAAGCGTGTGATGCCAGAATGATAGTTCAACCTGGTTAGTCCAGTTTCTGACTCTCAGTGATGCAGGGAGATCCGACATTGCTGGGCAACACAAGGACAGCTGTGTAACATAAGGCACGGAGGCAGAGGTAGGTAGATGCCTGATCTCCGCAGGCAAGCAGATTCCAAAGCGAGAAACGACACACTCTTCCATTGTGTGTCTCCTTTTCTCCTGGAAAGAATGTCTGAGAGATGCGAGAGGCTAGGAGTGTTCATCTAGTGGATGCTCGCCTACATGGGAACGTCGTCAAAAGGAAAGGAGTCTCCTCCCTAGATGACTAGAGGTGAATAGTGCATAAGATCTACTTTGTATCTCAGGAGAAAAGGTAGTTTCTCAACACATACAGACTTTCGAGTAAATTTTTTAAAAATTTCAGTGCTTTATAATCTAAACATTTCTACCTTCTGTAAATTATGTTAAATAATAATCCTAAAATTGTTGACTTCCATGACTTGCACTATAGTGCTGAACAAGCTCATCTGTCTTTTTGAATTTTTATTTACCCACTGCAAAATGGGGATACCCACTTTCTTCATGTTTAACTTCATGTGTTGGAGATTATTAAAGTTGAAACCAGACTTACCAGATCAGTTACAGCATATGTTCGGTTATTTCTTTTCCTTCTGTTGATAATCCTTCTGATTTCCTTTCTTTTCCAATTATAGCATGAAGATATAAAATGTAAGGAGATAAACTAAACTTTAATTCTAAATTTCAAATTGTAAAAACAATTACATTTTTGAGTCAGTTTTGACTTTGAGGAAAATAATTGTGTCCAAATTATTTTAACTATGAATTAGTAACTATGTTTAGAATGATATATTTTAAATTTTTAAGAAATACAAAAGTGTTTGTTATTTAACTTTTTTGACTCTTGTCTATTGAATTCTAGGGCACAGCCACAGATATCTATAAATGTAACCACCCCAAAATGTGCTTTTTCCCCTCTATTCTGAAAACTCCACAGAACTTTGGGAGGCACTAGCTTCCTGTCATGTTTTTATTCTGATTTACGTATGAAGTTGATGAAGTATCTTCTTTCACCAAGTTTACAAGTGAATTTTGAAGGAAATTAAGTTAAAATGACTGTCACACTCCAGTCAGGTGTGAATGCCCCCACAGAGGGAAATGGGAACCACTTCCTTTCAATCAAATGCTCTTCCAGCCTAGGGTATGTCTAAATATGACTAAAAAAAAGAAAAACAGTTACATCATAAGCCACAGATTGGGGGAGGGATCAACAGGAACACAGATAGGAAATAATCTTTCAAAACTGTTGTTCCAGTGAGTACCCTTCAATTGCTTTTACGAGTTAGCTTATGCAAAGTAGTATAAACATCGGGTACATTAGATCTTTCCTTGCCAATTCTGTCTCTAAAATGTAGTGCCAACATGTGTCTCGAATGCATGCACTTCCCTTATGCTCAGCTATAGCCACTGTCATCTCTTCATCCGAATTTTACAATAACCTCGGAATTGGACCTCACACACCCCCTCTTACATTCCGCAGAGTAACTGAGCATTAAGCACTAAGGCAGATCATTATTATTCCCCCATCGAAAACACTTAAAAGACTCCTTGTTGCCCTAAACATAACAGTTCAGAAAACACCAGCACTGGCCTCCGTACACAGACCCCTGCCTGTCCGGGCGACCCTCCCTGTGCTCAGGTGCTCGCGCTGCATGGCCCCAGGAACACACAGCTGCACGGACGCCACACGCTCGTTTGTTCCTTAGTACAGACATCAAATATCCTATTTCACTGAAGTGTCAATCATACTGCCGTATGAAATATTAATTTACAAATAAGTCTCTATGTCCTAGATGATCAAATAAATAGTGATTACCAACCCCTGACACACACTCACACTCAAACACACATATACTCCAAGGTCCAAACTAATTTTTCAGGCCTGTCAAAGCAAAATAAATTACCAGTTACCCCTGCTTTATCAAACCCAACTGACATGGCACGCTTAGAGCAGCGAAACAGTGTGACTAAAGCCAGCCATTGGAAACTGAATATGCTGACATTAAAACAATTATGTGAATTGGTGCTTGGAAATGACTTATACAGATAGGCTCTATAGTATGCTTGTCACTAGCCAGATGCCAAGTTGACATTTTATTCTGCTGCTATTGAGAGTGGGGCCAAGAGAACTTTAGATGAAGCGCAATGGTTTTGCAAGAAATCATACAATGAGGAAAAATTAAAATAAAATAAGGAAAATTTTCCCCTTTCTGAACTTGAGTGGTTCCCTTGAGAAGATTAAAAAAAAATGGTGTTTTTTTTTTTTTTTTTTGGTTCACTAACTATAATATACTTAGCTATGCTGATCACCTTGTTTAGGTAATCTTTTTAAAACAGACTTCATAGAATTCAACTACAGTGGCTGTTTGCACTGACTACAGTGAATAGGGATCCTCTTGCCAACCAGTGGTGAACAAGCAGAAGAATTAAAAAAAAAAGTATTTGTTGTTTTAGCCCTTGGGGTTTGGCATTGGTTATGAGTAAAACATAACATCTTGACTGATATACTTAATATAAGTAGATATGAAAAAACTCAGTAAAACAAAAAATAGAGCCATACATTAGATAAGTTTAATCCTTAGATAAGCCTAAGGATTAAAATATGCAAATACTTTCAACCAAACATTCTACTCAAATCTTGCAATCTAAGAATTTGGACTTTTAAATTGTGGGTTTTGACATTGTATTTAAAACTAAACTTCAGCCTTAGACATTGAGAAAGAATAGGTTAGGTGATGGTAGGAAGAACATGAAAGTCTTAAGGACCTCAGTGCAAGTTTACCTAAAGGTCCACAGTCTCATGTGGGCATTATGGCATGAACAATAAAATATCTCTTTTAGAGAAAAAATATAGCACGAATAAGTCTGCTATTTATTTTATATATCTGTAATTAAAATTTATTTTGGCCTATTATTGTTAAAAGAACCACTTATTTTTGTGTGAAACCAATGACATTATAAAGACAAATTAACTGGGAAAGAAAGGACAGTTACATATGTTTAAAATAAAAAATGCTGCTAAACTAAATATATTTTAAATCTCTTAATTTATTAAATGCCAGTAGAGAATGTCAGAAAATGTGTATACATTGTTTTGGGAAAACAGAAGACTGAAAAATTTTCTATTGAAGTTTATTTTCATTATTGTGAATGGTTTAGAAGAATGTTTACAGACTAATTTGTGGGTTTTTGTCAGCTTTTATAATGCCCTCGTGATTTGTCATTTCTCTCAAGTAACTTTTTTAAGAATGTAAACTATTTCTTTTGTCTCTCTGGTTCATTTACAATTTGAAGAAGCTTTTTTTTTTTTTATCCATTTAGATAAATTGTTGCTTAACAAAGAGATGTCCCCATCTCCGAACCATTCCTGAACTCTAAGTTAATTTTATGCAAATGCTTAGTTTAAAATAATACTGCAATATGAAATGCAATAATTACAGGCATTTTCATTCATATTTCTGAAAACTTAATGTAACAAATGTTTTGATGTGTCTCTATTTTCTCTTTGTAATTGCTACACATCTGTAACCATAAACATATACTATAAATTGTTTTTCATTTTACTTATTTCTTCAACAGAGTTCCATGTAGTTACATTGTCTTCATATTTAACAAATTTTCATTCTCAACCTGACTTGAGATTAAACCTAAAATACACGGTTTGCAGGTTCTTAATAAAGCCCTGGCTGAACATCAATATTTCTAGCAGTGCTGATATGCAGTCATCTGGACCACAACTTCAGGACGCCAGTGGCTGAGTTTGAGAGTAAATTCAACATCCTTTGGAGCAGGTTAAGTGCTAGAGTGAAAAAATATAATTCAATCAGATTCAACACCGACACTATGAGGTTGGTTTTCCTTAGAGTAAAAATCAGATCAACACCCTCATTTTTTGCCAGAACTATTACAATTGCTATTCTGCTTATAGTCTCTGCTGCCTTCCATGCACCATCTGCCTTGCTGCCAGGGGAATATGTAAACGTGGTCCTGTCTTCCTCATCATTGACAATGAGATACTTCACGTCGACTACAGGCTAAGGTCCAAATTCCTTCGAGTGGCTTTCAAGATCCCACAGGATCTGTTTTCACCATGCAGACTCATCTATCAAGACTTCCCTAATCCTTCCAGACGATGTTAGTCGTACCCCCTTTGGGCTCTCATAGCCTCCCTGCTGCCTCTTACGTCACCTGTCTCATTTGAGTTGGTCATTTTATGTATCTGTCCACTGGTCAGTGAATCCCCAGGGAAGAAACTCTAGTTTATTCTTTATCATGTCCTAAGTGTCTCTGACTTCCCCCCATGCAGTTCCTATCTCTCCTAGTTCCCTACCTCCTTCCATAGGTAAAATAATCACAAAACAACAACATAATCACAACAAAAATTATGATAATATTTATTAAACCCTCGTTATTATCATATGTAATGCTGTACTAAGTGCTTTGCATGGATTATCTGACTTAATTCTTGTTAACATTATGAAAAGCTAATTTTTCCCCCCACAGCCTTATAGAAGTTAAATCACTTGCCCATGGTCACACAGGTAGTAAGTGGCAAAGCCATTATTTGAACTTGGATAGTTTGATGTATAAAGTATGATTTTGTAATATTTGAGAAATAATTATCACTACAAGATATTAGTGAGTTTTCAATGTGGTCTAATTGGGAAAAAAAAACACACAACACAAATTACAGACATTTATGTAAAGGAGGTAACCCTGCTACGAATAGTCTACTAATTAGGATAAGTCCATTTTTATATGTATACTCTATAATGAAGTCCTAATAGTTGTATTTCATAGGCATAGAAAAGACCGAAAAGAGCATCAAAGATAATTAAAAGGTTAAAAGGAAGAATAAAATGAATGTGTGACAATTTAAAACATTAAAAAACATTTAAAAATATCTCCAGGTCTGACACACTGCAAGCTTCATAACTCAACACAAGTAATAATCTTTCTTAATCAATTTTGACCATCACTTTCTACTCAAGAGAGTGTTCTTGCCAAGTGAAGTGTAATCGAAGTGAAGTGTCTGAGATCAGGTGCCCCTAGGAGCAGACCCTGAGATAAAAAATTGACTGCAATAGTTTTGAGGAGGAATCACACACAGCACCTGAGGAGGCAGAATGAAGAAATAAGAGAGGAAGGGAAAGGGGCCAATAAAGGTGCATTGTCAGGATGCTGATCCCTGTTGAGCAACTGAGGCTCAACCTTGCTGGGAAACCACAGTGTTATCCCAGCGTAGGGCTAATTCTCCAACTATTCTGGACTTGAGTGAATGAATAGTAGAAGGGATACTTTCACATCTCATGTGTGGTAATAATTTAAGTTTACACTGATGGAAATTATTGAAAACATTTTTTATGAGGGAAAGTCTTTTTGCATATGATTACCTAGCATCCTTGTTTCCTGAATGGATAGTTATAGCTGTTAACCACCACATGAAAGTCATAAGCCTACTGATGGCTTATAGCATATTAGTTTAATGCAGTTCTCTTTTAATTAATAATAAGTGATATGTACAATGCCTTATCTTAATGTTTTAAGAAGCATTGCCTCCTTGAGAATATCAGTTACATTCCCAGAGCATTATCAGGTACGATGCTTTGCAGAAGTTGGTGCAGTGATCCTGATATTGATACAGGAAAGCATAAAGACCCATTATCTTGGGCCGTTCAGTTTGTTGAGAAGAACGGGAGGCTCCACATAATTATGACAGTTGTGCTGAATTTATCGTTATTCCAGATTTGTGCATTATACGTGAAACCATCCATCTCACTGCACTCCCTTGGAAGTAACTAACATCTGTTTCATACATTGCATTTTTATTTTTACCATTTTATGTTATGCCAAACTGAACTTCAGGCTTTTTTCTAGAGTTTAATGCCCATTTCATTGTATCATTTTTGATGGCTTTTCCTACTCTTTTTATTGTATATGAAAACATCAAAATATTTCGTTTGATAAATACTGTTACAAATAAATTCTGAAAGTAAATAATCCATAAGGGACAGGATAAAAATTAAATGTTTATATTTGTCTATTTAAATTATTTGGCTAAAATACTTAATTTCATTTCATCTTCTAAGCTAGTTAAGTCTTTTTGCTTTAATTACATTATATCATATTATTCCAAGCTGTAAGACAATATCTCTCATTTTAGATCCACAGCAAGATTTAATATATTCTATTGAGATCATAGTACAATGTGGTATTGAAAAGACTGAGTGAAAAAAAATTTTAAGTAATGTTTTGAATATCCCGTTACATTTCTATACATCTTGGTAAGATCAGTGAATACTTTAATATCGTGCTATAATTTGCTTTCTCACCAAGACTAAGTTGTATAGCCAGTGTCCTGGCAAAAGGTGAAGCATTAGATGTTCCTGCATTGAAATAGGAACTGTTTCTAGATTTCCACTCTCTTTTTTGTTTTCAGGTTATCTATATCAGGAAAATCACAGAATTTGATAAATGATTGAAATATTATCCTATTTTAATTTTGAAGTAATTCAGAGATTTCACAAACTTAAATTAATTCATCTCCCTCAATAAAGTTCCGATGACTATGCTCAGGGGGATCCTTTGCGGCTGAGATATCCCTCTGGACTCTCAGCTGCCTCCGTGGGAGGGGGCCAGCCCTTTGTGTTTCCACCCTTCTGTCTAGTCTTCATGTGGCTTCTTCTGTAAACTCTTGGTCATAAGACTTCTGTTCAATTAGTCTTCACTTGGTTATTCAGGTTGATTGATCTGTATTTCAGTTGTAATTCCACTTTGGTCCTGGGAGGAGGTGAGCGTAACTTCCACCTACTCGGCCCCTACCTTGGATCTCCTCTCTTGCTTTGCATCTTAATGCAATCTAATTATGTGGTTGTATCAGCATATGGTAATTGAAGATTAGATCCTCATCTATTTCACTTTAAAACTGTGCTTTCCCCCCTNGCAATCTAATTATGTGGTTGTATCAGCATATGGTAATTGAAGATTAGATCTTCATCTATTTCACTTTAAAACTGTGCTTTCCCCCCTAGACCTTGATATACTACCCAGCCATTGAAACATACCTCAGTCAAAACTGATTAAGCATCGTTATTAAAGAAGTCGAATTTCCAAAATTTTCTAGGAAACCCATCTAAACATTAACCATACACTCAGTGGAAACAATTTTAATGCACAAAATTTACCCTTATTGTTATTAGATAGCAATAGGAAAATTTCAAGTTCACAGGAACACATTTTAACACAATTCTCACCTAGTATTTGAGGATACAAAAGAGGACAACAATTACTTTGTGAAGAATGAATGTGAAAAGGGATTCCGAAAGGGCTCCGTGAATAAAAAGTAGGGCAACTATTATGATGTCATACCCCTGGCTGGAATAGCATTAGACAAAGGCTAGTTTTCAAACCTGTCTGACACCATAACGCGTAAATAGCAATACAACACATGCTGTAGTTTTGCAGTTGACCTAGCTTTATTCTTCCTTTATTATCTCCAGTTGTAAGCACAAGATGTACCTGGAAATACTGCCAAACACCAGCATCATCATCCCATTTCACAACGAAGGTTGGACTTCACTCCTGCGTACCATACACAGTATAATTAACCGAACCCCGAAGAGTCTGATAGCAGAAATCATTCTAGTAGATGACTTCAGCGATAGAGGTAAGATACAGTTAATAATATTTCATCTGATTTTGTTGTCACCTACACAAACATTACAGGCTTAAGAAAGGCAGAAGGTTATTGTGATATTTCTTTCTGATTCCACCTGAAAGATGAATATGAAGTTTCGTCTACGTTGTGATTTCATAAAATGTTGGCCAGATGCAGAGGAAACCGAATGAGAAGTTACTGGTGCCATTTGGGGAACTATAAGAAATTTGCATTACATTCCTATTGTAAATTAGACAGGTGTTGGCAAATGTCTCAAATTCTACTTTCAGCTTCAGGACAAACACTGCAAAATATGTCATCGTAAGGACTTATGAATAGAGAAATATTCTAGTCGAGCTATAAAGTCTGTTTCTGTTTCTGAAGAGTATCTACTCTATTATTTGCAAGCGTGATACATTCTCCAGGCTGTGCTTATGTTACTTCATAAATACTAAAAATCACAATAAAACACAAGTATTTTACTTGGCAATTCCAGCTATTTTATCATATCTGAACAATAATAGAAAAATCTGGTGTAACAGTGTATTAGAAAATTTGACATAAGCTCTAATAATCTAGCATTCTGATAAACAATTGGTTTTATAAGACAAGGGGATAAAATATAGAAAGTTTCCTGAGATTAGGACTTCATTAATTATATTTGGTCTAAATGTGGGAATTGTTGATGCTGCAGGGAAGATAAATTTTCTCTTTCTGCTGTGAGTGGAGAGGAGGAAACCTTTTCTAATGATATTCATCTATTTTGGGATATAATTTTCTACCTTATATTTCATTGCATGAAGGAGCTCTGCTTAACAAGGCTGTAGATCTATAAGAAAGAATGGCAGTAAAATAGTCTGATTACAGATTCTTATGCCTCACAAGAGAATACATCTTGAAATCATATGGGTTAATTGAAGTTTTGGAAATTTCATTTGCAGCAAAAACGTCATTTTCTTCATAGTATTAAAAAATTCTGAAAAAGTGAAACTGCTTAGTGTGTTAGTTTTCAGGTTTCTTTAGGAGAGTTCTAGTCTTCAGTGATTCACTTCAAATTCTGATTCAGGATCTGCCTAATATTAGTATGTGTTGAAGTTTATATGACAAAAATAAGTTTGTCTAACATCATTCCATTAAAATAGTAAACTGCCAACTTGGTGATTTAAGTTCATTTCAAAGCCATTGTTGACTTGCATGGCTTTGAAAAATGTGTATTCAATACTATTTAAGAATATAGGCCAGTATCTAAAATTGAAATTTGTTATTTAAATTTTTTTTATGTAATACATTGATTTCTTTTTTCCTCTAATTGAGGCTTTTTAGTTCAAAGTAGTTATTATTACTTCAGACTAAAAAGTGTCATTTAATCTGATAAAGCTAAAACTTTGCTTTTATATTAAAGAACGAACAGGGAATAGAAATCTCTCAGGCTGCAAATCACCAAATCTCTGCTCTTTTTTGGTTGACTGAGAGAAATCGGACGGTGTATCTGTGGAGAATTTTCTGCATAATTAACTTTGTCTTGGTAAACTATTTATTACAGCACAATTTTGACCTGGGGGTAATATAGTAGGAAACACTTGGTAGCAGAAAATTGTGGTTTGTACAACTTTTTTTTTTTTAATATATCTTTATTGATCTCAGAGAGAGGAAGGTGGGGGGAGAGGGAGAGGTAGAAACATCAATGATGAGAGAGTCATTGATCAGCTGCCTCCTGTATACCCCCCTACTGGGGATCAAGCCCACAACCCTGCATGTGCTCTGACCGGGAATCAAACCTTGATCTCCTGAATCCTAGGTTGATGCTCAACCACTGAGCCATGCCCGGCCGGGCTTTACAACATTTTTTTGCTGAACATTCCTCAGAGGTATTTTTTGATTGAAAGTCTTTAAAGTGGTAGAAAATAGTGGCATCTACATTTGTCTTGACTGCAAATTACTGTCATCTTTGGTACAGTAGTCACTCTGATGGATTATCCTTCTGCATATAATGTTACCTGGGAGGAAACTAGGGAGGTCAATATAATTAGTGGTAGTAAAGTTGGACAACAGAAAAAGGTTGATTTGGGATAGTTATGGTGATTTTTTACTTTCCTATTAGACATTTTTAAGAATAATAGTAATAATTTTAATGCTTTGGTAAATCTTAGATATTCTAATCCTATGAACTCTCAAGTTGAAAGTATTGCTTTATGATCATTAAATTTTCAAAAGGTTATGTTTTTTGAGTATTGAATTTCATTATATGAATGTATCAATATGTGCAACAGTAAATTTTGAAATTCTTGATGAAAGTACTTTTGTTATCTTTTAGAATGCATTGAATTCCAAAGTTGCATAAAGTAGTAAAGAATCTTCTTCTAAATCTGTATCTCATCTGACAAAATCTCATCTGATTAAATATTAGGATTTAGGTGGACCTAAGAGATATCACCCCTGCTTTTTGAATAATGGGAAATGTAAAACATTAATATAAACACAGTTTAGAATCTCATCACCAACTCTTAATTGTATGACACTGGATAAATTAACTTCCATACATCTTAGATTTTTTTTTTTTTTTTATCAACATGGGGATAACTAACTCCTTAGTTATTTAACTCCTCATAGAGAGGTTATGATGGAAAGCTACCTTGCTAGTTGAGTGAATTGTCCATTACTGATTTCTACTCACAAAATACTCCCCTACTGCTATAATATAGATAATCTCCATACAGAGATGCTCTCCAAGTAATCAAATCTAGTCTATAAGAATTTATTTACCTATCTCTCTCTCTTTCTATTTATCCATCTAACTCCCTATTATCTCCAGATGCAGCAAAAGTTAGAGGGCATGTGAAGACAAATTCATAACATGTTGGAAAAATAAGAACTGCATTAACATTTTAAATATCTCTAAATTTAGCAGTAAGTAGATAGTTTACTATACATATTGAAGAAAAATTAAATTCTAGACATTCATCAAAATGAGGATATATGGAGTATGTTAGCCGCCTAAAATTATATGAGTGGTCTTTTATGAGTATTTATCAAAATTCCTTTCAAGATTATTTTCACTATTAGACCAGAAGGAAGCTCTCCTACGACATCTCTTGTTTACAGGGTCTCTAAGGGAGAGAACTTGTTTCAGCTCCTTTTAATTTTGATGTTATCTATAGCCATGATGTTAAAAGCTATTATATTTTATACTATGAAGTATGTTTATAGTCTTTTTTTTTAAACCCAGAAATCGTATTATATAGACTCTTTTTCGCCAATTCTTTAAAAATAAAATTAAATAGGCTAGACAAATTTTAAAATTGAAAGAAAATAGAGTGTTTTGGGCTTTTGGGGGGAATTATTTATGAAATGTTACACTTTATATTTATTTTTATAAATATATTCCAATTTCAAGTCTACCCAGTGTGATTCATAGCATCTTTGCACTATAGCTCTTCTGGACATTCTGCAGTGTCCTTTGTCTAAGGACAATACAATTTTGACAAGACTTAATCAGATATTACAGCTTTATAGTTTATGTCCTCCAGGTCAATAGATTATCTATACATGAAAAAAAAAAAACCACAAAAAATGGAAAGCCAATATATTAGCTATGTTAATAACACAAGGCACAAGGTTAATATCACTTGGAATTGCTAGGTCCAAAAATGTAAGCAGTATAGTGACTGAAAAATTCTGGAATTTGGTTTCATAGCAATAGAGAAAGAAAATACTACGATAATTTGTAATTATTGAATAATTGTGAACATTGCATAGTGATTTTTAGAGATCTGCTTGAATAGATTTGACCCAGTTATCGAAATGCTTAAAAAAAAAGCGAGCATCCCATCTAGTAGTTCTCAGTTTATTCTTCCTCGAGCAAGCTTGGTGAACTGAATGTTGTTTTAGCCTTAGAACATAAGCCTACTGTCTATAAAAACATGAAGGTACATGCCTGCAGGTAAGTTTTTAACAACAGTGCTACGTTTTTGCTATCCAAAGCTTACCAAAGTCAGTGAATGTGATTACATTTTTATAGTAAGCTCTCAGAAATACATTTAACAACTTAACTTACAGCCTGTAACAAGGCTTCATGATGACTTTAAAGCAGGACTAATCCTGGGCTTATCTCTAAATTCCAGGCAACCCTAACAGCAGCCACATGAAAAATGTTGAAATGTGTGAAATAAGCTGGGGCTTAACCTCAAAGATAGGATATATTTGAACCTGACAATTCTCTAAACTCGGTTTGCTTAGATGGCTGTGACCTCACGTTGAGGATAGTCACAGGAAAGGTGCTGACACCCTTCCCTAAATGCAAGCATGGAAGTACTGCTGCACACTGGGCACACACACACACACACACACTCACACACACACTCACACACTCACTCACTATTGCCCCTACTTGTGTCAAGCTTCCTCATCATGAAAAGTAGGTAGTTGAGTATTTGAGCTACACAAAGACCTGTTCTGCTCCAGATATGACATTTTTCACAAGTTTGTAGACATTTACTCTGCTTTATTATGAACTCATTTTATAGCATTTTACATTTAATTTCAGGTTACTGCCATCATTTCCTCCCTTGCCAATTTTCCTTCTTTGTTATACAAATGGCTTTCAAGGATTTGTAGATCTATTTTGCTTTGGAATCATTCAATAATTTTCATGCCAAGTTCATATGTATATGCAGTTTCTTTAAAGATCCATGTTACCATAAAAATCATAGACTCTTCACATGGTTGACTGTTTATATAAATTTTTTAAATAGTGGGAATCTTTTAAATCAATTCCCAAATGAACCTGAGTCTTGAGCTTCAGGCTTTATTTTACTCAAATAGTCTTTGAGTATACATTAAAGAAAGTTTCCATAAGCAAACAAATCAGTTAGCACAAGTTTTACAGCTCTTCAGAGTTGGAAGATATCATCAGTGTGAAAAGGTTGTAAAACAGAAGAATGGCAGTGCATTTTTATTTTATCTGATAAAATGCTAACACTAAAGTGCATATAAAGATTCTGAGATGACAG